TCTCTCTCTCTCTTGTTCATTCTTTCTTTCCATGTGTTTGGTTGTTGCAGGGTCTCACAAAGCAGCTCAGATTCATAGTGATCCTCATGTTTTTCAGCCTCCCCAGCACTGGAATTATAGGCATGTGCCACTGTACCTGGACTCTGTGGCCTGCCTTGGCGGGCAGGGCCAGTGCATCTTGTGGTGGCAGGGATGAAACCTTGGTCCTTAAGCTTGCCGAAGCTTGCCTAAGCAGGCTCTTTAGTCTGCTGAACTATCTCGCTGGCCGCAACATGTTTTTTTCTAAACTAAAATCTCAGTGTTCAAACTTGCTTGCAGTATTGGCACTTTGTGATAAATAAGAATGTTTGGGTCTGTGGTTTGGGTACTCCATCTCTAAAAGCCTTCCCATCACTGTCCTACCATGTGTGGTCATTGTTCCATCTACCTTACTTTTTCTCCGATATGCAAGGGAAGTGAGGCCTTTGTACGAGAAGATCTCTGCCTGGAACGTTCTTCCCCCATATGTCTGTGTGATGCTCTCTGATCATCTTCAGATCTGTACTCAGACCTTCAAGGAGGCCTTTCTTAAATGCTTTCACAAGGCTGAGATTTGGGTCTTTTTTTTCTCCTGGGATTGAATCCAAGAGTGCTGCATCCCCAGCCGTTTTTTTCTTTTAATTTTGAGACAGGGTCTCACTGTGTTTCTGTGGCTGGCCTTGAACTTGTAATCCTCTGATGGCCAATAGAGTGGCTAGCATGCCTTGTGTGCACTACTATGCCTGGCATGGTTGGTGATGTTTGTCCCTGGCCTTGTCCCCAATTTCTGGGGACGACCCAGGCCTGGCTGGGTGGAAATATTTAGTATTCACATTTGTAAGTGTTGACTAAATTGAATGGACCTGAGTGAATGCAAGGCAGACTCCTCCTTGGCCAGGGTTCTGATGATGACTTGGTGAGCCAGAGCTTGGTGTCTTCTTTTTCAGGCCAAAGCCCAGCAGGGCTGGCTCGTAGCTGGCACCGTGAGCAGTCCTGTGCCTGAGATTTCCCAGTCCTCGGAGATCCCTATCACTAGTTGCAGAGAGTTCCTCTGGGACCGGCCTACCCTTCTCGTGCTGGGTAGGTCGATGTCTCTGCTTCTCTGTGCGCACATACATGGTTCTTGAGCACTTGGGTGTCCAGCAGGGCTTCCTAACTTCTGCATGTGCTCTGCAGGGAGTGAGGGCTCTGGTCTGTCCCAGGAGGTGCAGGCCTCCTGCCAGCTTCTCCTCACCATCCTGCCTGGGCGCCAGCTCCCTCCTGGACTGGAGTCTTTGAATGTGTCTGTGGCTACAGGTGAGCCTTCTTTCCTTTCTCAGCACCCTCATCACACAGATATAGCTTCCCTCTCACTCCATTGTTTTTGGCCCGTCCACCCTAACCAAGTTACTAAACCTTGCTGTGTGTCAGTTGCTCTATGTACAAATTGGGGAAAATACTTCCTTTTGAAGACGAAGTGAGGAAGGTACCTAGCAAGTGGCAAAGCCTTCATCCGTGGTCCTTCCTCTCTGCTGTCCGTCTCTCTTTCCCTTGTCCTTCTGTCTCTGCAGGAATTCTTCTTCACTCCATTTGCAGCCAGAGGAAGGGTTTCCCTGCAGAAGAGGAGAGCACAACTTCTCTAGGACCCTCCAGCTGAAGGACCCAGAGTGGCTCAGCATCCAGGACTGTCTTTGGGATCAGAAAACGAGAGGTGCAGAGGGGGCTGAGAGGCCCTCGAGGTGTGGGCGTGGCGGAGCTGCGATGGCTATAGTTCTAGGTGCATGCTGGAGTTGACCTGTGTGTGCACCTAAGCCCACCACACTGACTACAGTGAACTAGGGACTGGAGGGAACTTCGAAGTGGAGACCAGCACAAGTTCAGTTTCCTGTTGGTACTTTAGCTGTTGGACTTGCAACTGGAGATGGTGGTTTGCTAATTTCCAGGCTGGTCAGGAATGAATGGGGTCTGTCTTCCCTGGCCCTGCCTGGAAGGCAAAGGGAGTGTGTGTCCCATGAGTGTGACAATGTAGAAGGAGGCCCTCTGTGGCCCCTGAGCGCATGTGTTTGTCACCAGGTGCCTGGAAGCCCTGGGCTGTGCCTACCACTGGGGTTGTGAGGATGAAATAAAACTACTTGTAGTCCTGTAGCCACCCAAGGGACAGGAGAGTGTCTCATTCCTCCAGAAGGTGGCAGCCTCACTCTTTCATCCACAATTTAGGGGCTGCTTTGACAGCCACCTGGGGGACTCCTGGCTGCAGCTCCACCAGACAGGGAAGATGAGCAAATACCTTGCCTAACTGCGACACCCCCCCACACCCCACCTCCAGTGACCCAGCAGTTAATCCATCTCAGTGGAGGGAAGCAGTGAGCCAAAGCCCTCTGAGTCTTCAAGGTAGTGAGGACAGGGTTGTTTATTGTACAAACCAGACCCACATGGTGCTCCTTTGTCAGGGTCCTATGGTGGGGCAGAGGCTGTTGCACAAGCAATTCGGAGTGGTGGTTCTGGTCCTGGCTGCACTGTGGGCCTACCTGGCTAGCTTGAAGCAGACATGCTGCCCCAGCAGCAGATGCAATGGGTCTGGGCACAATGTAGGCACAAGAGGATCCTTCCTTCCTTCCTTCCTCCCTCCCTCCCTTCCTCCCTCCCTCCTCCCTCCCTCTCTCCCTCTGCCCATCCGTCCTTCCTTCTTTCCTTCCTTCCCTCTTTCCTTTCTTCCTTCATTACAAAGTTGTCCAGGCCAGTCCAAAGATGTGATCCTCCTGCCTCAGCCTCCTCAGTACCACCGTACCTGGCTCAGGCAACAGGATTTTTAAAACTCCTGGAAAAGAGTTAATGTGAGAATTGGTAGAACAGTATAAGACTGACACCGGGGCCAGATAATTCTTGACTGAAAGAGCTGCCTTGAGCATGGTAGTGGTAGGACATTTAGCAGCCTCCCTGGCGTCTACCCTCTAGACACCAGGGCTCTGTTTCCCCTCCAACTGTGAAATAAAAACGGTCTCCAGACATTGCCGTGTCATCCCAGATGGAGAGCCTCTGGCTTGGAGTGGGGTTGGGAGGATAGTGACTCCAGCCCTGTGATCCTGAGCACTGGGTGACCTGGGGCAAGTTCCTCATGCATCTGAGCCTCGGCTTCCTCCTGGACCCAGGGGGAAGAAAACTACTTTCCTGGATTCCTGGGAGGAACAGCAGGAACTGATGCTTTGTATGTAGTAGGTGCTCAACCAGTAGTACCCCTTCCCTGTGGAATGTTTCCAGTGGATTTACACTGCAATCCTGCTGTCAACGCCAATTTATTTATTTTTGTATTGTAGGACAGGGTGTTCAGGGTCTCACTGTGTAGATCATGCTTGTACTCATAGTGACCCTCCTGTTTACAGCCTCCCAAGCGCTGGGATTACAGGCGTGCGCCACCACGCCCAGTCTCTGTCAATGCCAATTTAAAGCCAAATTTGGATTTGTTTCAAAGGGACCAGTGGCCGGGGAGATGGCTCAGTGGAATAAGCGCTTCCCTGGGGTCTGAGTTCAATCTCGGTTCCACAAAAAAAAAAAAAAAAAGTCACTTTACAGTCAAAGTTTCCTTCTCAGGAATTCCTCTCAAGACAAAGCCCTTCCAGGAGTCCTCTGTTGCTCATCAGCATGTGTCCTTCTGAACTCTGTCCCTCAAAGACATGCAGTGTTTGGGCTCTGCTCCTGCTGTGCCCTTGGCCGGGATCCTAGTGTAGTAATTTTTAACTGTGGCTGAACCTCGGAGCTGTGGGGGCAGGGACAGGGAAAGTTTCTAGTTTTCCGGATGTCCAGAGACACCAGACTCATTAATTAATAGTGTCCGGGGAAGGAGCCAGGCATGGCTATTTCCAGAAGCTCCCCAGTTGGTACTGTGCCACGAGGCTCAAGAGTCGCTGGCTTTTGGGCCACCCGCTCCAGTGTGAGCGGTGCTCATTTACACCCAGCTGCGCACGCGCACCCGTGCTTCACAGCTCCTTGCCTGAACACATGGCCAGCATAGTCTATCTGAGCCGAAGGGTCTTTTTAAAAATTTTTTATGTATTTGGTACAGCTTCTCACTACATAGCTCAATCTCGTAGTGATCCTCCTGTTTTAAGCCTCTTCATGCATGTGGTGCTGGGTCGAACTCTGGTCCCTGAGCTTGCTTAAGGCACTAAGCTATCTCCCTGGCCCACAGAGAGTCTGAAAGATGCGGGTTCTGAGCCTGGCTCCATGGCTCCTATCTAGATGGCTTCTTAGCCTCCTTTCCTGTAAAACACAGATTGTACCTTTAATGCCGGTTCTGTCCACTCCCTTCTCAACAGAGAAGTTATAAAAAAAAATGAAATGAGAGATGTTCAGTTAAGAATACTGTGTTGGGCTGGGGATGTAGCTCAGTGGTAGAGCACTTGCCTAGCGTGTGCCCTGGCTTTGGTCCCCAGAACTGCAAAGATCAACCAGCCAACCTATAAACTAAAGCACTGTGCACCCTAGGACAGGCACAACATCCAGTTGTGGATGGTGTGTGATTAATTTTTTTGGTTAAACATTATTTGGGGTGTTTCTATGAGGCTGTTCCTATTAAATCAGTAGCCAGCAGAGCCATGTACTCCCTAAGTGAGTGGGCCACCTCTTCTCAGCTGAAGGCTTGGATAAAACAAAAGGGCAGAATTCAAGGCCAGCCTGAGCTGCATAGGAGACTGTGTCTCAAAAATAAATAATAGGGGCCGGGGAGATGGCTCAGTGGAATAAGCCCTTGCCTGGCAAGCACAGGGCCTGAGTTCAATCCCGGTTCCACCAAAATAAATAAATAAATAAATCATATAATAATAATAAATAATAATAAAAAAATAAGGGCTGGCTAAATAGCTCAGCAGATTAAAGTGACTGCAAGCAGGCTCAGGGGCTGGGAGTTCAATCCCTGGGCCTGCCATGCTGGGCCTGCCTCTGGGATGCATTGAGATGGCAGTTCAGACTGGGTGTGGTGGCTCGAGCCTGTAATCCCAGCTCTTGGGAGGCTGTAAACACGTGGATCACTACAAGTCTGATCTAGTAGTGAGATCCGAAACACCCTGTAGACCCTTCCCTAAAATACAAATAAATAAATAAATAAATAAATAAATAAATAAATAAGCAACCATCCCCCAGGTAAGAGAATCCTGCTTAGGGCTCAGCTGGATGTGGACTCCTGGTTCTTCAGCTTGCTGACCTCTGCACATGCACTGAGCCGCAGACTGTCCTGTCCCCTGGCACTTAGATGCAGGCTGGACACACATCCTCACTCTCCTGGGTCTCCAGCTTGCTGACACACCCTCCAGATCTGCCTGCCGCCATAATTGCACGAGCCAGTTCCCTATATTAAATCTCTCTCACCCCCCCCCACACCCTTGTTTGCTGTAACTCTGATGAAAAATGCAGGTAGCCAGCACTTGCTCCCTGTGGGCACTGAATTTGCCCTCTAGGACCAAAGGGAGGATTGAACCTAGAAGCTGGTTGAGCTAAGTCAGAGGGGGAGAAGAGCATCGGGGAAGAGCCTGACTCCAGCTGTGGAATCTTTGAATTCCAACTCTAACTTGCTAGGAGTGGAAATATAGACAAGCTCCTTAAATTCCGAGTGTCAGTCTTTCATCACCTATAAAATGGGACTAGCAGCAGCAGCCACTTCACAAGATTGTGGAATGATTAAAAGGGATCTTACACAGAAGCCTTATGCCAGGAGGATGGTTGATGTCCTCAGAGCACCTAGGGGCGGCCCTGGAAGGCAGGGCACTGGGCCGTGCTCCTCTTCCAAGCTGGCCTCAGTTTTCCCATAGGTTCTACAGCCCCTTTCGGTTGTAGCACATGGTGGGTTACTCTGAGACTGCTGGAAGGACTTGGGGTGGGGAGGGATTTGAAAGGACAATTACAGGATTTTTTTTGGGGGGGGGGTCACCCATGGCTTTCACTTCTACATACACCCTTGCTAAGAAAAGAAGGGTTTCAGAAAGATTTGTGGTTGGGACGCAGTACCAAATGGTTGAGTTGGTATTCTCAGCTCAGAGCAGCTGAACCTATTCATACCCCCTCCACCAGGGACGAAAGCTTTTTTTGACAGGAGGCTAAATTGTCAAATCTCCCACCCTACAGTGCGGGTCCTAAACTAGGCACACCCTCTCCCCCCACCAGCTCCAGCAGGGCCAGACTCTGGGGATCCCCACAGTTTGTAAATGTAATCAACCTCGAGGTCTCTCACTTCCACAGGTGCAATTAGCATGCCCATCTGCTAATCCCTGATTAATGATGTTTACAAACATGGACTCTGGCTTGCCACGGAGCTATGCTGTCCCTCCTGCCTGCAGTTGGAAGGCAGGGTTCTTCTAGAAATGGCTCCCCACTTCTTCAGACCTCCCCAGCCCAAATCTTTTCCTGTCCTTCTCCAGAAGTTAGCAGAGCCAGGGCTCCCCCTTCACCCTCTTTGGAACCTCACCCCAGTTCTCTTTGGGAACACATGGAAAAGAGACTGAGAACAGACAGACTTCAAAAGCTTGGTGATGGGATCCTACCCATCTTCCTTTCTTCAGTTCTGGAACCTCAAGGACACACAAAGGACTCACTGCCTTTCTTCACCAGTCGGGGTTCAGACGGGGTCCACATGGACACACCTTGCCTCTGAGTGGAGTTGCAGTGCATGTGTGTCAGGGGCGCAGTACCAAAACAGTGGAGAACAAAGACTTCTGAGCCAGACAGGACCGGGCCCCAGGATAAGCGCTCCTCTTAGGTGCTATACTTGATTGAGCTTCAGTTTCTTCATCTATGAAATGGAGCTAGGAGGAAGGTTTATAGGTAAGAATTAATAATAAGATTAGGCAAAAGACAGCACAGTGCTGGGACGCAGTAGGTGCTCAAGAAATGGGAGCTGTTTGCTGCAATGGAAATGATAATGATCCTGAAAGGAGGTCTCTGAAGCTGCAGTCGCTGGAGGACTTCTCCCCTCCCCCCTCCCCAGGGAGAGGGGCAAGTCCCAGCTCATTACTGGTGGGGGCTGGAGTGGAGGTGTCAGATTGGAATCACTCCTGGGTCTGTTCACAGCTTCCCTGTTTCATTAACACCTCCCTGGTGGTCTTGGGCTCCTCCTGCTGGGGGAGGCCTCCAGAAAGTTCTGCCCCTCACTGCTGTGC